AAAAAAAAAAAAAAAAAAAAAAAAAAAAAAAAAAAAAAAAAAAAAAAAAAAAAAAAAAAAAAAAAAAAAAAAAAAAAAAAAAAAAAAAAAAAAAAAAAACTCTAAATTTATGTTCAATGATCACTCCAAATTTTTCTCAATTGAGAAGACAAAATATCGGTACCTTGAAATAGTTTTCACTCTTAAAAATAAATCAAATCAAGATAAAATATAATTAGAAATATATATATATATACAAACTCTCAAAATTTGCATTAAGCATTATTTAATTAATTATTAGAATAATAAAATAAAATAAGAGGATAATAATTATAATTAACTCATTGTCAATTATTTCAACTTTTATAATTACAATATTAACCTTTCGAAATCTCAATTTTACACATATATCCAGAGACCGGTTGCAATAATTAACAAACGATTATTTGATTGGATTAAATATTTGTAATTGGAATAAAATATAAAATTTTTAAATAGTTATTTGTTTTTATTAATTTTCAAGTAATTAACAGAAAAAAAGTTAAATCGAAAAATAAAGAAGCAAACAAGGAATTAAAATGGTGGGCACGGTCCGTTGTCTCAAATTATTGTATAATTAATTAATTACAAAATGACAGCTGGTATTTCAGATTTGACACGTGGCCCTGTCCAAATATTAAAGTTTGACTTTATCTAAAAAATCTTATATTATATGCTTTACGTAATTTTTATAATTTTTTAATACCCAACGGAATTCTCTTCTAAAATTGGATAACTAGACCTCTTCAATCTTCTAAAGCATCACGTAATCTTCATAATTTATTTATTATTATTTTTAATTATGATATTATTTTACAGTCAAAGACATTAATCTTCACTACATGTTAATTAATTAATTAAATAAAAAGTAATTTAAAATATGTAAACCACGTGGGATCTCACAATTCATTCCTTTTTAAGGTCCAGCGTCTTTGTTCGTGGGATCTCACAATCTACTCCTTTTCGAGACTCGACGTCCTTGCTCGTGGAATCTCACAATCCACTCTCTTTTTGAGCTAGCATCCTTGCTCGTGGGATCTCACAATCTACTTCCTTTTGGGGTCCAGCGTCTTTGCTTGTGGGATCTCCCAATTCACTCTCTTTTAGGGTCTAGTGTTCTTACTTGTGGGATCTCACAATCCACTCCCTTTTGAGGCCAGCATTCTCACTAGTACACCACTCGTTGTTTGACTTTGATACCATTTGTGTAACAATCAAAGCTCACCGTTAGCAAATATTGTTTATTCGACCCAATTTGTATGACCGTAAGTCTCACGATTTTAAAACAATTTTCACACCTTTAAAAAAAATATTTGATTTATCTCTCTAACGTCTAATTCAAAAAATGTCGGTTAATTTTTAATTTAACATTAAAATTTAGATGGAAATTGAATATCCGCGTTAAATGTTTTAAATTTCACACCAGTCAAAATAAATGCCATTGACTCAGTCTCTATTGGCTGGAGAACTCACACCGAAATTCATTGCCATCGAACCGTTCATCTCCAAGGAATTCGAGAAGGCGGCTATTGATTGACGGCTGAGATACGAGATGGAGTAGCAAAACATTGTACTGGCGTGCAGGTGATAGGAGCTTCTTCCTACAATGGTGTGCTGCCGCCATAGTTCATCATTACGGTCCACATGAAACTTCAAGTGGGCTTTCAGCACACGTGTCAGTCAAGCCAACCCTATCCATTTGGATATTAACTATTTCGTTTAAATATTGTTTTTTTGTGGACTTTTTTAAAATAAAAAATCAAAAAAATACCCTTTAAAACTTTTTATAGTCAAATATATCATTAAATTTCAAAGAAGGGTCAAATATATTAATTTATGTAATTTTATTAATATCCTTTTACTTCTTAAAAAAACTAAAAATATTCCTATCTTTGAACTTAAAAATGGTATTAATAAAACTTTTGAATATCATTTTGAAACACTATTGGAAATAAGCATTTGTCGAGATAAGACTAAACTCTCTCCACAGCAAACATGTTTTAAAACTATGAGATTAACAATGATACGTAATAGATCAAAGCGGACGACATCTATTAGTGATGAGCTTTGATTCTTACATTTGGTATCAAAGTCATATATCGAATGGTGTGTTATGGAAAACGCTAGCCTCTAAGGATGTGGAAACGTACTTCTTTATAAAGGGTGTGTAAATTTTTTATTAATAAACACGTTTTAAAATCGTGAGGTTGATGACGATAAGTAACTGTCTAGATGATGAAAGTCCCACATCGGCTAATTTAGGGAATGATCATGAGTTTATAAATGTTTTTTTTCAGACCAAATATTTTTATTAATTTAGGTTAAAAAAATGTTTTTTTTTTTTTCATTAATGGAGTTGTGGGCCAAACCCGTAAATATCGGGAAGAAGATTTCTAGCGTAATATTGACGCATACACAGACTCGCGGTCATGATTCAATTATTTTTATTTTGTTTAGGATGATTTAAATGTTAATTATTCTTTCATTTTTTAAGTTAAATTATGACGCAAAAATAGAATCATTTATTTATTAAAGTTATTTAAATTATTTTTTAAATTTCTACAAGTTTTAAACTTAGGTTCTTAAAGTACAAAACAAATTTGTTAGGCTATTTTTTTCTTTTTTATTTTATTGCAATTTCTGAATATAATTATAATTAATACGACGATTTAAACCTTCAACCAAATAAAAATTATAATAAACTATAAATTCCATACTTGAAAAATATTAAAAAATTATCTTTCTCTATTTTAAATTAAATTATATGGGGATGTAAAATTTTGAAATTTAAAATTTTAAAAAAATATGTGAGACATATTATTTAATTTTAAATAAAAAATATTGATTTTTTACATCAAAATGATATATGTCTCTTACTTAATTAAAAATTATTATAAAAAAAATTAAAATGTTTTTTTTCACTTATTAGATATAAAATTAACAATTGAAAATAAAAATAAAAATGATTTGTTTCTATTAAAAAGTTTTAAATTTGTAATTAAAAAAAGAAAAAAGAAAAAAAATTATATAAAGGATTGGGCTGTGCATCAGAAACTTCTACCTTCAAAGCTAAGTCTTTATAATTTAGAGAGAGGAAAGCGTCCCTTTTCCTGTTTCTCTCTCTTCATTTCGTCTAAACCCTATCGCGAGCTCTCAATCGACCTTCAAATGGCGAACAGTAATCTTCCCCGAAGAATCATCAAGGTAACATCCCTGATCCTCTTCAAGATCTCCTTCATTTTCAACCGATGTCTTTATTCTGCTCGATTGATTACTTTGGTGAAGAAACGGTCTGGTTTTGCTGTTTGGATTTCGGATATTCTTTTAGATTTATGTGTCAGTAGAATTGGGATTGAAATTGATTTTCTCTTCCATTTTGTGAACAATCGCAGGAAACTCAGCGTCTCCTTAGTGAACCGGGTGAGTTTTGGGTGTATTTGTTGGATTATTTTCGAATATGGGGGTTGTTTGATTCCTGATCTTGTTACTGGGAGTTTTTTTTTTTTATTATTATTTTTATTTTTTTTTATTTTTATTTTTTTGGTGTGTTATTTGGGTCTTGGTTGTTGATAGATTTATTGTTTGGATTAATTCATCCGATAATTATGAAGTCGAAGTTTATTTTGATTTAGTTGATCTCGATCTTTGATATGTGATTTTAGCCCCTGGGATTAGTGCCTCGCCGTCAGAAGATAATATGCGATATTTTAACGTGATGATCCTTGGCCCGACCCAGTCACCCTATGAAGGTAAATTACTTGACAGTATGTTGTTAGGAACGTTAAATTCTTTTGAATAATTTGCTATTCCATTGTTGGTACATATGAATGGGTGTAGAACCAACTACGTATTTAAGTTACATATGAATGACTATGAAGAATGAAATGACATTCACAGTGAACGCTATGGGATTATCTTCTACTCGATGAAAAAAAAAAAGTCTTTATCTTCCCTTTTAACTTTGGTTTTCTCCTTTATGCTCTATTGTTCAACGGTAGAACGTCACTCTTCTTGGCTGCTAAACTTGGGAACATGTTGTTTACATTCTACTGAGAAGTGAATAGGTTTTATTTAGAGATGTAATCTGAATATCATTTCACTGTTTTTATTGAATAATGTTATATGTCATCTTTCATTTTGGGCTTCTTTTCTCCTGACCCTTTGTCAATTCTAAAGTTGTTAGTCCATTTCAATGTTCTTTCTACGTATATATTTGTCCTGAATCCAAAGTACTTTGCAGGAGGAGTTTTCAAGTTGGAGCTATTTTTACCCGAAGAATATCCTATGGCTGCTCCCAAGGTAGTTTGTAATTCTTTCTTTCTTAGCTTATCAGATAAACTTTTTCATTTCTTTTACCAATAGTCTTTAAAAAGTGTCATATATATATATTTTTTTGGTTTGTTTTGTTTTTCATTAAAAGCAAAAATGTATCAACAGAAGCCTCCAGTAAAAAAACATAGGGCTATTGGGGGAGCTCCAAGTACTGTTGAAGATCATTTGAGAATTTCTACCCCAAATGTGCTGTTAAAATCTCTTAAAATTTCTTATACTTACTGGGCTACTTGCTTGTATATTACTTCTTGAATTATGATTTCACTTATATCATGAGGGTGGTATAACTAAAAGTCATCAGATATTGGATCTGCCATCATCACAATATTTTTCTTCCCTTTCGTTTCTTCCCCACTCTCTCAAGGGTTTCCTGCTTGCACTGAATATAAATAAAAAAGATCAGAAGCCATCATAATTTACTTTTCATTCACAGTTTTTTCTTTTTCATGAATCATTATATTTACATCTATGATACAACTTAATCCTGGTTGATCTATGATACACATGTGAGCATATTGATATTACGTGAAGGGAGTTTTTGGTAGTTGAGGTCTTCGTGGTTGGAGATGGGGAATAGCTTATTTCATGACTTGCTTTGTCATGCCTAGCTTTGAAAGATTGAGAGGAAACATGTTTGACTGGTTCTTGCGAGAGTCCAGTTGTGTGGGATGCAATTCATGACAAAATGTTCTAGGCAATCGTTTCAAACTTCTTTTTTCTCATTTTGCATAGAAAACCAATTTTCATAAAGAAGATAGAAGAGCAAAATTAAGGAGAGGCTCACAAAAATAAGGGCCTGACAGAGATAGGAAAAGCAACACTCACATTTACTAAATGGACCCCAGTGCATCCCCCAAACTTGTACTTCAGTTAGACTACTGTTTTCTTTTCCTGTTCCTATAAAATAAATAAAACTAATTTTTTATTCTTGGAGTTCCTATTATTAATTTTTTAGAATGTACCTAGTGATGTAAGTATGGCTGTTACTTTTTTTTTTACTCGACTTACGTATGAAAAGTTATTTGTTCTTTTGATTGGACTTTCATGTGAGTGAAGAAACTGTTGTTTAAGGATTTAATGATCTGCTCCATGCCGATGACACTTCAATTATCATTATTACTTATTTTTTGTAGTACATGTAATCATGTATTAAGTAGATGTGGTTGTTTATCTGGTTGATTTTACCTTGTTTTGTGTCAAACCTGTTGGGGGATGGGGGTTTGCATGAAGCAATTGGCACTCATTACACATAATTTAACTAATTCAACTTGAGTGGTTGATCTTCATGCCTTTTGCATACTGTTCTTATAAACAGAAAACTGATCCACTCATAAAAGAGATGTAAAACAACGGAAATGTTTTAACAGCGTTGGACAATTTTTTTTTTTAAGGTTTACGGTATTGCCTTTTGATGTCCTAGGACTGAAGATTCTGTATCTAGTACGCTAGGTGGTCCTGTTGGAACTTATCATAACTTGTTTTGATTGCCTCCCACTACCATCATTTTCCCTTCGTCTGTTTCCATCTTCATTGAAATATTTTTATCTTTGCGTGATTATTTTTGTGGTGCAGGTTCGATTTCTCACAAAGATTTATCATCCAAATATTGATAAGGTACGCGCCTATTGTCATAATTGTTATCGCCGTCCCCACCAACGTGCTGCAGTTTCATTATTGATGGTGTGATTGTTTGTAATTTAGCTTGGGAGGATATGCCTTGATATTCTGAAAGACAAATGGAGTCCAGCTCTACAGATACGAACTGTACTTTTGAGGTATTATAATGTTAGGTGTGATTTTTCAGTGACTGCATATTAAATTTGAACATTTTGCATGGTCTTTTTTTCATTTGATTAATTCAAGGAAATACAGATCTGAAAATTTTACCACCATGCACATTTTATGTAGCACATTGGTTTAGAGAGCTTTAGTTGTTTTTCTAGGACTTTCCCCAACTGCGGTCATTTCCTTCGTAAATTTATCTTCAATAGTTCAAGTTGAAGAAATTCAATTACCACTGGCATCCATTTCTTCTCCTCTTCCTTCTGCGTCCCTTTTCTATGAACATTTTTTTTAGTAACAGTCACTTTCTCTATCACTTTCTGTCAGTATTCAAGCTCTTCTGAGTGCTCCAAACCCAGATGATCCACTTTCCGAGAACATTGCCAAACATTGGAAATCGAATGAGGTCGAAGCTGTTGAAACAGGTGAGTTGGTCTAGACCATTGCTTTTGTTACAACTTTTTGATCCTGAGTTTAAGCTTTGTTTCAGTTTGGTTCTTATGTTTTTAAAAGCTCTATATCTTTAGCTTTTGATTAAATCTGGTTTAAGACTGGATAGGCTAAGTGGTATGTGAATGGGGTAAGACGAGATATCATGAGATGATAGTTGATTCTGTCGGCGGAGAGGGACTGGGTGTTGTTTGAGTTTAAAGCTAATGAATCGAGTCGAGTCGGGTTTAGAATGTTGCCACTCCTTGCACTAGAAGTAATGTAAAATTGTAGCTTAATTTGTGATGTAGCCTCTGACTGACACACCATTTTGTGGTTGGATGTTCTCAGCAAAGGAATGGACTCGATTATACGCAAGTGGTGCTTAAAGAAGGGAAACTGCGGAAGCCTTTTATCTCTTCGGTTTTTAATAACATGAATGTGCCATTTGCTGTGGATTTTAATGAAAAAATCTGGAAGAATTTAGTGTCAAAATTGTAACTGTCTCTATAATTGTGCGTCTTTTGGCAGGAGTCTGTACCCCCATACTATGTATGATCATTGATTAGATGGAATACCTTCTTCTAAGTTCAATATCTCCTAAAATTGTAAGCCCCTAATTTTTCAAGAATGTTTTAATTATTAACTAAAAAAACTGGAAATACATTAACAACTTCATGCACTAAAATTAATATAAAGAACTACTTTCAAACTCCGGTTAATAAATGCTATTTAAACGACGTTTAGGAGGTTTATTAAACCATTCTTGCTCAACGTCGTCCATAAATCTTGTTTGATTTGTTTGATACTAGTTTGACATTTTAAAGGCTAGTGCTAGAGTTGGTTCAAACTCAAAGCATCTCAACTTGTTGAGCTATGAGGTCTTCAAGCAACATTGGAACGAACGCAATCACATACAACATACTTGACAAAATAATAAAGTTATCCTGTCTGAAAACAGTGAGCCTTAACTCTTTCCCTTTGTTGATGGCCATTTCATTGTTTCTCTTTCAAGACTTCTTTGATGAGAGGTATACCCTCTTTTATAGGGGTCAATGTTGGAATACTTCTCTTCTTTGCAAATGATGGAACTACATTGGAAATTATTCACAATGATGAGAAATGTATCATTGTTTTTGCTCTCTTTTCTATCCCATTCCACATTGGTTGGTGAGGAAAAAGTGTGAAAACGTCTCCCTAACAAACATGTTCTAAAATCGTAAGGCTAACAACGATACGTAATGGGTCAAAACGGATAATATCCTAGCGGTGAGCTTGGACTATTACAAATTGTATAAGAGCTAGGCACCAAGCGTGTTAATAAGGAAGTTGGACCCCCAAGGGGAGTGGATTGTGAGATCTCACATCGATTGAAGAGGAGAACGAAACATTTCTTATAAATGTGTGGAAACATTTTCGTAATAGATAAAACTGTGAAGTTGACGATGATATGTGCTAACCGTATGAGAAGGCCCTAAGAGAGGGAGGGGTGTCCCACCTAGGGAAAAAAGGAAACAAGAAAGGAAATGTCCCACCAAGGGAAAAAAGGAAACAATAAAGGAAACAAGATAAGGGTCCTTGAGAGAGAGAGAGAGAGAGAGAGAGAGAGAGAGAGAGGGATCCCACCAAGGGGCAAAAGGAAGCAAGATAAGGGTCCTTGAGAGAGGGATCCCACTAAGGGGCAAAAGGAAAACAAGATAAGGGTCCTAGAGAGTGAGAGGGAGAGAGAGAGGGATCCCACTAAGAGGAAAAGGAAAACAAGCAAAGGGTCCTTGAGAGAGAGAGAGGGATCCCACTAAAGGAAAAAGGAAAACAAGATGAGAGTTCTTGAGAAAGAGAGTCTATTGCTTCAAAGTTCTGAGGATTTCATTACAAATGATACATAATTTCACAAAGAGGTTACAAAAACAAAAATCACTTAAACAGGCCAACCCTTGAGCATGTACAGATCACAGATCACAGAAATGTTAAATCAAATGTCTGTGCTACCTCCAACAGGGTTATAAAATCTCAACCAATTCTAAACAAAGGGATTGAGTATTGCTCTACCTCAACTATGCTACCAATTTGTGTTCTTGGGCTGCCAAATCTTGAGACAGAGTATCAAAGTTCAAACTTCTAGCAACATCGAAGAAATGTGCGACTGCTTCTTCTGGTGTACCGACAAGGACGCCGTGCCCGAGGTTTAGAATGTGTCCTCTTGGTCCTGCACATCTCACAACCCTACAAACAAACCCATATGTAGCAAATACCAAGGTTTAAAATGTGTCTGTGCTACCTCCATTCTTAGCTAGTTACCATTATTTTGTCACACAGCTTGTACGGTTCTTCCTTAAAAAAGGTTACATAGGCAGGTAAATAACAAGAACTGAATTCTCCTGGAACAGAAATAATAGGTATGCCATGAACAAGGAAAAATGCAGGAAGCTCAATGACAAACCTTTGAATTTCTTCAGATAGAGCAGGAAGAGTAGAAAACAGATAAGCAGGGTCAACATTTCCTTGTACACTGATATCAGCTCCTAATCTCTTCCTTCCGTCAGCCATGTCTACTGTCCAGTCAAGCCCGATAACGTCGACTCCTGTTCCTTTCATTCGCTCTAGAAGACCGCCATTTCCATTGATGTAGAGAACAAGTGGTGTTTCAGGGCACTTGCTCCTTACTGTACTCACAATCTGCCAAAAAAGATCCCCAATGATGAATAAGAATAAGAGATAATGATTGGCTAGTAGTTACCGATATTGCTACTGTGAGATCCCACATCGGTTGGGGAGGAGAACGAAACATTCTTTATAAAGATGTAGAAACCTCTCACTAACAGACGCGTTTTAAAAACCTTGAAGGGAAGCCTGAAAGGGAAAGTCCAAAGAAAACAATATCTACTAGGGGTGGGCTTGAGCCATTACTGACATTTTAGAGATTCGGCATTTTATGTTAAGCTGAAAATGGCGAATAAGGTGAGGTCGTCAAAGAAAGGGACGTGTTGGTTTTCTTTGAACTGAGCTCTCTCTGCTTGAAAATTGGTCAGCTAAAGAAAGGGGAAAAGACAGCTTACCTTCTGAATATACGGCTTTGACCAGGATTCCCACATATCAGGTGGCAACTGTCCACCCCATGAGTCAAATATTTGTATGCAATGAGCTCCATGTTCTATTTGGAAAACAATATATTCTGATATTGCCTGTGTCAAATGAGAGAGGAGAGTCTTCAACACATGTGGTGCTGTGTGGCACATTCTCTTAATCGTCGTATACGTTCGTGTCGTACCACCTTCCACAATATACGTTGCAATCGTCCAAGGAGCTCCTACAAAACCCAAGACAGCAGCACTGCCTTCAACCTATACAAAAGGAACAAACCAAAAAAAGTGACATCAAAATTGTTTTCTATCATCTTGGCAATACAAAATATTGTAATTTTTCTTTATAAGCATGAGAATGTGACAAAACATACCTCCTTGCGTAGCAGTTTAAGTGACTCCCCCACAAAGTTGAGTTTCTCAAGGTCAAGGGGATGAAGAGCTTTCAATCCCTCTTCGGAGCGAATAGGCGAGTGAATAATAGGGCCTCGTACGTCTTCTATGTCAAAAGGAACGCCAAATGCCGGTAGAGGGGTTAGGATGTCGGAAAAAATTATAACTCCATCAGGATGGAAAGCCTCCCAAGGCTGCAATGAAATTTCTACAATGAGATCAGTTGTTTCTGATCTCTCTCTGAAAGATGGATATTTCTCTGCAAGTTTTCTGTAAACGGCCATATACCTTCCTGCTTGACGCATCATCCATGCTGGTGGGCGACTAACAGGATCCCCTCTTGCTGCCTTTACCAAGAGTGGAGGATCTGATAAAAATATTCACTGAAAAGTGAAAATAAGCACCATCCATAATTTAGAATTCAAATGCAAGGAAAGAACTGCAATGTTGAACGCAAACATAACTATGTTCGAGATATAATAAAATAAAGCGGCCGTTTGGTTGCTGTAATTTAATATTTAGTCCTGTGATGAGAAGAGGGGGTCGTCTTACCTAATATCTCTAGGCTTATGATATAATGGTAATGAGTTTTGGTTACTTATTGTAACAGTCTAAACCTATCGTCAGCAGATATTGTCTTCTTTGGACTTTTCCTTCCGAGGTTCCCCTCAAGATTTTAAAATGCATCTATTAGGAATTCTATTAGGAAGAGGTTTCTACACCCTTATAAGGAATGTTTCGTTCCCCACTCCAACTGAGGTGGGATCTCACAATCCACCTCCTTGGGGGCCCAACGTCCTCCCTCGCATACCGGGCCTTCAACCGATGTGAAATCTCACAATCCATCCCATTTGGGGGCCCAATGTCCTCACTCGCACACCACCCGGTGTCTGACTTTGATACCAATTGTAATAGCACAAGTCCATCGCTAGCAGATATTGTCCTCTTTGGGCTTCCCCTCAAGGTTTTTAAAATACGTATGCTAGGGAGAGATTTCCACACCCTTATAAAGAATACTTTATTCTCACAATCCACCCTCATTCGGGTCCCAGCATCCTCGCTGACACTCGTTTCCCTCTACAATCGATGTGGGATCTCACAATCCACCCCTTTTTCCAATTTCGTTGGCATTCATTCCTCTTTCCAATCAACATGGGATCTCACCATTCTTCTTTCGCTGCAATGTTTCTTAAGTTCAAGTTCAATCCCATCTGGTTGCCACTTGCCAAGCCTTACACGTCAAAGAAGCCTATACATCATCCTAACATTTTGGCATTGGTTTACAACGCTTGTAAATGCTCGAGTCATCCAACAACTCCCCCATTATAACAACACCCTCCAACCGCATGTTCATAGCTCTAGTTGAGATTGTGTATAAGCCCATATCAACAATATGCTGCGTGCTGGACAGTTCAACCACTCAACAGACAGTTAAAAAAAAGTCTAGTAACCACGAACAATAAAATTCATTCCAAATTTCCATTTCATTAGGTCAACACAAATCCAGCCTCACACTAAACCATAAAACTCCATATTCAAGACTTAAACAATCCACACAAACTATGAATCTTCATACACAAAAAAACAGACAAGAAGCTCTCAAGACTACCACATCTCTCAATGCAAAACACAGAGACTAATCCAATTCAAAATTAACAGTAATTAAAACGGAGAACAAGCACATGAACAAACTAAAGCATACCAGATAAGGAAGATGAACAAGTAACAGAGATAAGTTTATCGGAGACCCGTCTCCTGGAAACAAGCAATTTAAAGGAATTAGAGGATTTGAGGCCCGAGTGGACTAAAAAACTCGAAGATTTCCATCCCAAGGAGGTGCAAACACTGCAAAAATAGGATCAAAATGCTTATCGCAAAGCAACTACATAGAAAAAGAAAAAGAAAGCACAAGAAATTGACAAAACAGAATGGCTAACCTGGCCGGCGATGCCAAACTACTCATTTCGAAAGAGAAAAATAGAAGATTAAGGATGAACGCAGACCCTTCTTCTCCGATGCGTTCCTTATCCCTCAGCTACAATTTTTCATACTTATTTGATATATTTTACACCATTTTCTTCCATTAAATATGAGATAAAAGTCGATAATTCGATCCAAATTTT